ACATCTGCTTGAGGCCTGTCACACCCAGCCTTTTGAGTATGATTATTTTGAAATTTTGTATTTTTGGGGCCGGATGGTCGAAAGGAAACGACAAGTGAACCAACACCGCCGGCCCGGCAGACCGTGGGGCGTGGTGGAGTGTGTTATTTTTGGGGCCGACCTTTTCTAACCCCCCCTTCCACTGAGAAGGCAGCATCATCACGGCACTGCTGGTCATCCAAGGGAAACACCTTACTGCTGTTACACACCCTGTCCAAGCAGTAGTACGCCCTCAGACCCCCATCATAGTGTAGTAATTTACACCACAATGGTAACTGCTTTTCGTCTAACCACTATCCAACAGACCTTTCTGGTATGGTAGGACCTCGAGGGAACAAGCGTTCCACCAGCATAGCTCGTTGGGTCATTGTGATATGCAAGCCCGACCACCACGTCAAGGTTGCAGCCATCGGTTGCTTTACAGTCGTAGGTTCTGTGTAGTCGTAAATAGTTAATACTTTATCTGTCGATGGGTGCATACCTTTGTTGTCATTTATGCCCAAATTGAGAGATTAAACTCCTGTTTGACATTTTCGGATGTTCATCATAATACCATAGTTTTTCAGTCTGTTGAATGTGAGATTCAAGTGGTCGAGGTGAGTTTTCTTATCTAGGCTTGCAATGAGACAGTCATCGAAGTAAGTTTTGACAAATCCAAACAATGGAAGACATCATTCACTAAGAGTTAGAATATATGTGCTGAATTCCGAAGAAAAAAAGTTATGTACAGAAATCCAAACAGTTCAAACGGTGCAATAATAGCTATTTTCAAGATATCTTTTGCTGCCATAGGTATTCGATTGTGCTCATTGACTAGGATGATCTTGAAAAACGTGTTCATTCCGCGAAAAGTATCAGCCACGCCGTAGGTATGACGTATTGAGTAGCAGTCGGGCGTTGTTTTGGTGTCAAGCCATCGATTATCACCGGTCGGACGCCAATTACTGTCCGACAGTTTGACAATCTCAAGTTCAGCCATGTAATAGTATTCGTTTTTCGCCATTCTCAGCTTGCTATGGGTTAAGTGGCGTGCTTTGGATACCACAGGTGAATCTGTGGTTGTTATGTGATGTATAAGAATGCTGGTTATGCACTGCAGAGTACATCCCGGTTGTCTCAACTTCGGATGTTTATCTAGCACTGTCTGATAGGACGAGTCGATTGTATATTTTCTTGTAACTATGGCTAAACTCGGAATTTGACAGGCGATTCCGCCGGTAGATAACTTCGTGTTGTTATCTATCAGTCGTCGTCGAGCATTTACAAGTCGTGATGGTTCAACCAATCCATAGGAATGATGGACGTGGAGACATAAGCTAGAAAAAAAATTCAGTGAATGGATTCATAAAAACCCACGCTGGGATAAATATATACTTACCGAAAGTCGCTTACAGATTGAATGACGGTTCATAATGATGTTTGTTTATGGTTGCGGGAAGCGAACTTTTATCCTCACGTCAGTGACATACAACAAACGGTTGTTTCCACGGACTACAGTTACCATTAAAGCGTGCCATCGGGACAGATTCTTGATTTCGTGCAGTTTTTTTCCAAGCGCAAGGCCTTTAAAAATTCACTTATTTTTCTCCAGTACCGTTTAAGGTTTCGATCCTGAAAAGTTTATCTGTCGGACGACCACCTAAGTTGCTGCAAATGAATGAAACAAGCTATCATTGTGTTGTACGTCATGACCTTGGGTTTCGGGTTCTTAAAGGCTGCTTAACAGAGTTGTAGACCTCTGAATCCTGACCCTCAGGTCTTTCGTAAGCGGAATATACGTCGCAGATTGGTCTTCTACAGATCTCCACTATTTTATCAACCAAGGCTGCCAGATCATCGGTGGAAACCAACTGAAGTGTCACTAACACGATTCGTATTGCTTGTGACAGTTTCAAGAGAAACAGTTCATGAAAAAAACCATCATCGAATGTTCGTTGGTCAACAGCTTTTCATAGTCGTGCGACCATATGGTATCTGAATCGTTGCCTAGCTCTATGTTACGCAGCAATCAATCTAAGCGTTGGAGATCGATGACATCGCTTTTTTTCAGAAACGCTGTTTCAAGTAGTGCATAGGGATCAATTACTTCATGGTTAAACATATGTAGTGTAACGTAACCAATTAATTACTGTGGAGATGATCGTGTGGCAACAAAAAATTGAGAACTATCATCTCTGACTCCCAGATCTCGCGAACCAGCTTTTACGTACCAAAAACATGTTTCTGTATGGTCCAACCAGAATGGCACGAGCTGTAGCGTGTGCCTCATAAGTTTAATACGGATGGAATTGGGAATTTGGTCCCACACGGATAAGAGTTTATGCAGCGCGAAAGAATACACAACGCTTACGCAAGAAACATGAGGCTTGGTGGTAAGAATGCGCAAATGGGATGTAGGCGGTAGCTGCATTTGGCAACAGTCGTGAACGTTTTGAGCTCATCCAAGCCACTGGCAGCAAGAAGCCCGGTGTCAGTAAGAAAGTTTGTTAGGTAGGTGGTACGCTGATAAACAATCTTCAAAGACATCTGAAACTCTAGGCGAAGCACTTCATAAAGCAGTTCGGCTGGCAAACTGCTCCAGCATCTTCAGTTTCAGTGTATCGTGCTCCATAGTTAGTTAACACTGACCCACCCAACGAAGCAGAGGTCTATAGTGAATTCCAAGTTTTGATTCACCACAAGGCACCCGGCCCAAATAATTGTTCGCGAGAAGCAGGTCGGTTTTCCTTCAGATCGTGGATGCATTAATCATGTGTCTACCCTCCGCCAGATGTTTGAACATCACCAGACGTATTGCAAGTCAGCAATCGTTGTTTCTCGACATTAGGGCTGGTTTCGATTCGTTGGTCAGAGCTGTACTATGGGATTGCCTGTTAGAGAGGGGGCATGCCTGAAAACTTTTTCAACATCCTGAAAGCCCTAGATAATGACATACCTCAGATAGAGTGGTGGCATACAACCACCTGTCCCCATCGTTCCCAACCAGCAGTGGGGTTAGGCAGGGTTGCCCGATTTCTTTAACTGCTATCGGTGACATTGTTGAGACAGCTGTGAAGGAGGTGTGTGATGGTGGTGTAGATTTACTACCCAGAGAACGGCTATTCAACCTCGAATATGCGGATGATATCGTCTTATTGTGCGATAACACACAGGCTACTCAAATCGCACTTAATCACTTGGTGATTATTGTCCGTAAGTATGGTATATGCTTTGCACCAACGAAGTGCAAAGTACTTTTGGGAGATTGGTAGGAGTGTGTGACTGGGCTGACTGTCGGTGGTGAGGCATTGGAATTAGTCGAAACATTCGTGTATCTGGTTAGTTGTGTCTGGTGGTGGAGGTGTGACTGATAAAATTTCTAACCACACATTGAAAGCCAGAGTGGCATACGCCTGTGAAACCTGGCCTGTGTGAGCTGAGGATGTGCGATGACTTTGTGTATTCGATCGTCGTTGTCTCCATAGGATTGCTTGCATCTAGTGGCAACATCATATAAGTAGTTGTGAGATACCACGACGTGTGTTTGGGCATGATGGAGGTCGCCATTCAATAAGTGAAGTCATCTGGAAACCGGCCTCGGTGACCTGGACATGTGTTACATATGTCTTCCCAAGGGCCTCCATACCGTTTATTGTTTGCTAGTCGTGGGACTGGATGGAAGAAGCAGAAGTGTGGTCAGTAACTGACGTGGTGTCGTGGGATGAAGGATAGTTTTATCGAGTTAGGGTGGGGTGGGATCCGAGTGATCACGCAACTCAGTAGCTCGATATGTTATCAGATATGGCTCAGAATGGAAATCGATGGTGGTCAGGCTGTAGCTTCGTTCTATCTTCTCCTGCTGAAAAGTAGTGAATATTTTGTTTTGAATGTATCTAACTGGACTGCTCTTCTAATTATTCTATTCTTATGGTGTTTTTCTTTTTATCCACTTCCCTTCACTTCATATGTTCAAGATAGTGTTATATTAATATGTGATGCATTTCTTTGTACCCTTGTACCATGTTTGTATTCCAATAATGATGATAACGTTAATAATAATTGTAGTAAAAGTAAACATCGAAGGTATAGTCAAGAAGAGTCAAGTCGATGAAATGAAATTCGCAACAACACCAAGCACAAAATGCTATGGGACGTAGAGAGAAGAGAATAAAAGTAGGTGTTAAAATGCTTCTCAGGATTAAAGTAAAATATAATGCAGGTGCTTTTGCGCCACTACTCAATTCGGGGCTACATTTCATGAAGTTTTTAATCAGATAATACTGTTATCTGGTGGACCCCAATAAAGGATTCTACACTGTCGGATTCAGTCTTACTTCAAGAATCAGTGCTTGTTGTCATCTGATCACACTTTGCCTCCTTTCATCTTAATTCTCTCAACACTTAGGTGCAATCTTGTCATTGTCATTACGAATCGCCTCCTGATATTCATATCAGCAGCAAACAGTGAGACGAAAACTAGCATTTTTAGTTACTCAGTTGTGTACATATAAGGAAATGAAATGGACATTAGATAGTGCATCAGAGAATTTAAGTCGTTACTTGTCCCCTATAAGCAGACGTAATCTACTCCGATATCTTGTGATCAACGCCAAATGTAATATGATCCATTGAACTCAGTCGTACATACTGCTTAAAATTGAAAGTGTTAGTGATCGTGCCATAGTACGTTTTTGTGCATCACTCAAGTAATAACAAAAAACAAAAATGGATAGCAACTGTTTTCTTGTGTTTCAGTGCAGTCCCTATTTCCTTTATTACCAATGAGTATGTTTATAGCGATAAAACTGGCATCATTTCCTCTCAGATTGTTATCAACTTATTGTTAAATAGCACGTAACATAAGTTTAATACCTAGTATGTTCTTGAATGTTTAAGAGAATTTTTCTCACTTATTCCTTACCTGTTTGGGCAAGGCTATTTTGTTGTTTCTGCAAAACTGGCTTATTTTAATTCTTTTCCAGAACCATTCTGTCATGAAAGCGGATGATGATAAAAGAACCCCATCAGTTATTTTGATAGATTTCTTTAATACATTACCGTTGAGAGATAGAACTACTATTTCTTCTGTCTTAACTCAAATACGCTCCCATTTAGATGACGTAATTCCAAATACTAATTCTACTGCATGGTTCGTCAGCAAAGTTCGACAATTGCAGCTTGTGTTCATGAAGATTCCACTAGTTTTGAGAAACAAGCGAAGCCTCTTTTGCTTGAAGGACTAGAAGTTTCATCAGAGATTTCTTACTCACTTTTGTGTGTTTTTACAGTATGTCTTTGTTTAATGGAATTGAGTGCTTTACGAAACTGTGATCGTTCAGATTTGGAAAGCGAAGACATCTGGACAACTACAGAAGTGTTGAATTCGTCTATATTTCCAAAACTATGTGAAAAGATAAAAGAACAGAAAACGAATCTTCCTTCAATACTTTCATGGTCATATTGTATGTTGACATTCACTTATTCTGCTTGTGTCGAGTGGATAGAACAACAAAACTGCAAGCCCTCATCTTCTTTCTGTGTTCGTTCTGCTGTGAAATTTGACCCAACTGTGTTAGATCATCCTACTGTGCCACTTATAATGCGTCATGTTCTCCAAGCACAAAGAAGGAATAAACCTTACCCTATACCTCCGACATCACGTACTTTTTTAGATCTTTTGTTTTCTAGCGCCGTATCTAGTAATGCAGGAATTCTGAAGTCGTGTAAATTTATGAAGACTTATGATCCAACCAAATGTTCTATAGAATTCGATGAGCCTCCTGTACAACTCATCAAAGCTAACAAGATGACTGAAGTTATTTCTGAAAGCAAATCAGGTGAATTATGTGCATCCTTTCACGATACTTTACGCACAGGTTCATTCGCAGACATTCTTTCTAATCTTAATTCACTAAAACAACTACTTGGAAACTCTGATCTACAAAATTCATCGGTCGAATCATTGGTTTTCACATTGAGACAAACACCTTTCATTATAAAACGTTTAAGAAATTGTATGACAAATAGCTCAAACGTGATGATGCAAATATCCACTTATATGAACACATTTATGTCCTACTGTTACAACTGTGGTTTCGTGCTGCTACGGATCGTATATTGCTTAAAAAATTCCCACAATCGTATATATGGCTCTGTGGTTTCACTTGCCCAATGTATGACGTATGTTTTCCGTTTCATAATAATAAAGTTAGTAATTTCTCTATCTCCCAGATATAGGGTTCATTTTGACATTATTAAAATCATAGATTGTCTATGTGATAAGACAAATTAGTTATTATTACTGGTTATTGTGTTGTGATTAGTTTTTTCTGTCCGTTACACATAAGCATTCTCCTTTTTGTACTTTGAAACAGACAGTACTATAACTTCGCAAAGTTATTCATATACTCAGGACACCACGCTCCATAAAAGACTATACTAGAAAACAATCATTTGAAAACAGTGTCACCAAGTAGTAGTGTAGAAAGCTGAAGAAAAAAAGATAGTTTGACAAATGCACATATGGTTGTATCCAAAATTTGCAAGAATAGCTAGTGATTAGATTTGTGCAATGGGCAGTGATGTTATATTCATGGTAGAGACATTTAGTTCTGTTGTTTCGGAAGATCCAAACGCAATCTAAAAGCATTTGTTTGTGCACAGAAACATTTCATTCTTACGCCTACCTTGGCGAACTTTGTTTTCTTACTAAGATTGGGACCGGCTGTATCATTCTTCATTTTTGCCTCATTTTTAATCCCCTACTATCCTAATTCTCCCATTTCTCCTCCCACTCTCTGATTCTTACATGAATTGGCTTGACAAGTAAGTGTGTGATCAGATTGTTCAGAACGTGTTGTGCAAAACCATCATTGTGTTCAGATAAACTTCGTCTTTTAATTACTTGATTTTGTCATAGATGTACATGTGGAGAAATTGAATCCCTAAGGAGTCGGAGGTACTTAGAGTTACCTCTATACACATGCCTAGTCACTGTCTGCCTCGTCAAACAATGTCAGCTGAAGTAGATTCAGACTAGGAAAGGTTAGAGGTAGTCAGACTAAAACATGGTATCGGTTGATGAAACTTCTGACTGGTGATCTGAACTGTGTAGGGGATCGTGAACATGTTGGTTGGAGTCTATATGACAACAGAAGACAGTGGTTGAAAGCTCAAGATGATACGGCTGAGAATTGATGTCCGTACCACACCTTATCTTCATCTCAATCGTCATATTGAATTTCAGTATCCCCTCATTCTTCCGTACTATCTTCTCACGAATTTCTGCCACTTTTGTGTAATCCCTCTTTTATTTCTTTATCTTTCGTCTTGAGAATTTTCCACCTGATGTGACTTGGACCACTACACTGTAATGCAAGTTACCATGACGACACTCACCTATTTCTGTCCAGATAGCCGAAGCGTTACTGTAGATCACTTCACGTATGCTGCAAAGTATTTAACCCAAAGTTCTTGTCGTCCTTTCTGAGGACATATCGACTTCTCATCCTTTCTTACGTTAGTCTCATTAACCCTCGTCTTACCAGAATCGCTAATTAGGCTTAAATAGTAGCCGGGTTTTACCTAATGTTCATGCCTCATCCATCTCGATCGCATTCACCACCTAGAACCTCTAACGATCAGTACGAAGAATCAGTCAATTTACATCTGAGCTACTTTTACTCCTCACCCTGGTCAGAGTCCTCTCGTAACAATCAGTCTAGATGAGGTTGCTGGAATCCACTGTTTTTGCTAGTCCTTGGTTGTAAGCTATCAACTGTCTGTATCACTGATTCCACAACAGACTGAAAGTTAAGTCAAACTTCATCGGTTGAGGATGATTGTCATGTTTAGATAAACGTTTGACACTCTCTTCCCCCAAAACAGACATACACATACTTTGAGTTCTCGTTTTTCCGTCGAGCACATACAGGCTTCACTGCCATCTGTTTCCTGCGACCAGACCAGTAACATTCAAAAGACACATCCTCTTAGTAAAGTATGGTCGTAGTTCCCGCAACTGGTTTCAAAAGCGTGACAATCCTCCAACCATCCTTTTCAGTGATGGCTTATAACAATAGGATCTATCCGTGTCCATTGTTGACCTGATGTCGGCGGACACTGAGTAGGGTGGGGTCTCTCCCTATAGTGGAAGTGAGCCCTCACTAAGAACTAGTGACTGTGAAGACGAAATTCCAAGAGACGATCACGGGTTTTACCGCTCGTTGGTATCGGATTCCGTAGACACCTCGAAGATGTCTTTCCAATTAGCTCAACTTTCCTACTTCAACGTTGAAGTCGCCTGCTGCTGTGACCATCTGAAAATTTTGCATTATGTAGCAGAATTAACAACTTTTGACAGAATTCACTCTTTGTACATAATCTCAACTGCAATCGCTGTGCGCGTAGACAATTATCGCGAATCGGCATTGATAAGTATTAGGTCTTCCAAGTCCTTCCAGTCGAGCAACACATGCACAGATGTTGACCATATCCAGTGAAGAAGTGCACCGTTGGCCTCACAACCAAATGCTATACCTACACTAGCGAGTGCGGTGAAATCAGCCATCGAATCTCTGGATATCAGTGATGTGAGTGAGTCTTGAAGACTCACCACACTGGTCAAGTGAATCCAAATGAATAACTACACTGCAATCCTGTATGCGCGTACCACAAACATGCCATACATTTATAGCTTGATACTCTAGAGTTTTGGCAAGAGATGCCTGTTGTCTGATTTCTGCCATAGGGTTGTGACTTTGAAAGTCAAAATGTGAAGTCGCGGTGGCGTGGTTTCAAATGAGAAGTAGTGGTTTACTGCTTTGGATCGTTGGTATTACTTGCAAGGTGAAGCGTTTAGGAAGCTGTAAGATGCATAACGTTGGTGTCTGAAACAGGTATTGAAGTCAAGGGAAGAGAAGGGTCTGAAGATGGCAGGTTGTAGTTAGATAGATTTTACGTACTTCTGGTAATGTGTGGGTAGTTGATGCTTCCCAGCTGTGTACACCATAGCAGTAATTGTTTCTGCGACGTACGTGAACGAAAAGGTGAATTAGCACTGAGAAACCATAGAGCTCAGAAAAATCCATCCGACGTTGATCATTCATAGGTGTCTAAAGTTTTTGATTGAAATTTAATTGTGCTACTACAAAGCAAGAGAGACAGAAACCACCGAAATCGGAATACTGCAGTGCAGGGAGTATAGTATCCTTTTTTTGCCCATTTTCTTCTTGTGTAGTTAGTTATTAAATGCACAGCTGCAACCCATATTGACTGGTTGTTGCATTGAAAACTAAAACGAATGGTCGAGCTTGGTGTTGTCTTTATATCTCTACGTTCGCAACCACTAACTGCAGTTCAAATGAAGTGAAGGATGAGTTTTGTCGAAATGCATTTGACCTTTTGCTTAAATCCAAACTTTCAGATGTAGTTTTTGTAGCTGGTAATTTAAATGCACACCTGGGTAGGCTAAGTCAGGCAGAAATGCATTTAGATGGCCTTTTCGGAATCCTAGCTAAAAGAATCGATAATGGTGATCACCTGCTGCAGACAGGCTCAGACAAGCGCCTACTTCTGGACATGACAGACCTCACGCTGTCTGATTTTTTTTCTCACTGATCTCAACTCAACGTGAATGCAAACCATATTACCATAAGCTATCCCTGGAGAGGCTTGGTGCAAGGCTGCCGCTGCTTTGAAGTATATGTTTGGGTAGTGGTTACACATTGGTTCGAGGACATGTATGTCAGCACCTAGATGAGCGTAAAGAGCCGAAGCTACAAAACCATTCCCTTTCCACATATTATCTAACCGCACATTTAGCTGAATGATATGAAATCAAGTGTGGCAACTTAAACCGTCAGGTACTAACGGCGAGTATCATGTTAATGTTGACTTAACTAGTATTTAGTATAAGAAATATGAGTGTTTCAATCCAGGTGAATTTTGCCGCGATCATGTATTAACTTTTCAGCTGGTCATTAAGAACAGAAAATATTATTACATTTTGATGTATTAAAGTATGTTACACCATTTGACTGTGCAAACTAAAATGTGAGAATTGTAAACAGAACTATTCAGCTAGCTTATCACTCAGTAATCGAAACAGTTAAACCTCTGTGAGATACATCGGTATTACATTAATAATTGCATAGATATGCATTACTTAAGTTGCATTTCTCTCACTAACTTTAAATCAGAAACTGACTGTTCAACTATGCTTTCATCATTCCACTTTGGTGTATTAATGTCCGGGCTGTTATCGTTAGTATTAGAGTACAATTTTAGCACTGTGATAATCCCACATTAGTTTGTCTATCAGATTTACACACAGTGAAATTGGAATATTTATTGGATAACCCTTTGCACGCAATTTACTGTCTGCAGTCATATCAAGACAACTCTGCAACTTTGAGACACGGTTTGTATATTTCTCTTTATCTACGCAGTTAGCACCAAATGTATGTTGTAGAAATGATTTAGTACCTGTTCCAGGTATCTAGGGAATTCTAATACACGATTACAGGGTTTTGGTCACAAATGTCTTCTTGTCATTGCTCGCCTTTGGTGAAATCACCGTTAGGGCATTGTTCAAGTCAGGCGAAGGGTAGTAGGCAAGAAAGGTAAGTCAATTGATGAAGTTGTGGACCTTATTCGACTGAGATGGCTTGGAGATGCACTGTGCATCCTGAGCTACCGCCTACCTCAATGTGCCCTTACCAAGGAAAGTTGGATTAGGTTGAAGGAGAGTTCAGGGTGGCTAGACTAAGCCCTTACTGTTGGTCTAGGTTGTGTGGGGAGATGCAGACTGACTGCTTGGGGTCCCCAAGACGATAGGAATCTGTGGTCGATGACTCACTCTATTTTATCAGTCTTTTTCTATTCTGTTCTTTGCGTGCTACTATAAGGTGTAGCACATTGAACCGATGCACCTGTGTGCAAAGTTGTACGTGATTTTGTCGGTCAATCAGTGTAATACGCTCATCACAAGTAAGGACGGGGGGGGGAGGGGAATTAGAACTATGTAAACCTTGTCTCCTAGTTACGGATTTGCCTTGGTATAAATATGAGTAATACATTGTCTGAAATCGTAATCCATTAAGTATCACTGTTTCATTATATGGTAAACAGACAGAAAGTCAACCTAGAACCTCGCACAGGAGTGCATTCATTATGCGATGCAACTAAAAAACAAACCAATTCTTATTAGTAACCAGTGGGTCCAACCAAGTTGGATTTGAGGACAGATACTCAATAAAGGTTGCTCTATATCGTGCAAGGACAGAAGTAGGAAATATGAACTGTTGGATTCCGACATAGTGGTAACGTGCTAGCAGCGGAACCTAAAGGCCCTGGGTTCGATCCCTGGTGGGGTCATGGATACACACTGCTGGGGAGTCTCATACTTGGACGAAACAGTTGTCAGGTGGTCCCGGGTCTCCAATGTTTCCCCAACTGATGTCAGTCCATGATAAACACCCACCTAGAATGAATAAATAAATCCTCACAAACCTCCAAATGAAATAAACTATAATTGTTCATTTCCATTCTTACCAACAATTGGTCATTAAATCCAATGACTGACTGTTGTACATGAAACGCATGATAAGATAAATGCAAGGACCAAATAAATCTTTCTGATAGCCATGCTTTTTTTGCTTTCTTTAAAACAATGGTAGTCGGGCAAAACCCTTGGTGATTGAAGCGAAATAAAAATCTAGTCAGCAGTTGGACCTCGTAGCCCAGTTGGTAGAGCACTGGGCCGGTAACCCGGTAGTTGCTGGTTCGAATCCGGCCGCGGTCTAAATTCTCATTTCACCTTCAATCATCACCCAGTATAACTGTTATAGTTGTTACTAATTATATTTTGTCTTTTTGTTTCATTAATGTCACAACACAGGTGATGAGCATTAAAGGGTTTTCAGAAGTTGTTGTATGGACTGGACGTTTTTTATCTGCATATGAAAATCTCTTTAGATCATCTATTCTTAATTCACCTCATTGGTACCTACAGATGATTACAGATGCAATAATTGCTATAATTGATCGATCAGAAAAAGGTTAGTGAACACCATATTAATATTCAAAAATATGCCTACTAGGCTAATGTGCGAAACGGTACGCTGATGATCTAAATTATCATTACCTAATTTTTAAAGATATGCCTTCT